AGGGCAAAGGTGTGTCATCACGGAGGCGGTTCCAGTTTGTGCAGCCGGGTGAGAGGTCGCAATGTTTCTAATCGTAATGCATTGCGTCAGGATCAGAATGCGTTGCTTTAAGCCAGCTCTGTAAACAAGTCGAACGCACCCAATGACCGGACTGGGGAAACAAATTGAAACACGGACTTAATACAGAGGACTAATGAAACAGCTGATCACGTGGGGATCCCACACAAGGTTAACAAGGGGGCGTGGCACACGGAAGGAGCGGACGATCGGGGCAGGACAGGGGTAATGTTGGGATAAGATCTTTATCATTTTGGAAGCCATTTAGGAAAAAATGCTCTTCTTGTTTTATCTTGTTCATTTTGTGTTTAAATGCTAAAAATAAATAACATATTTAGGTGTAATTTTAGGGAACCGGGAACAAATTAATTGGCTTTCCATTATTTCTTATGGGAAAAATTTGATCAGAACTCGAACTTTTTCGGATTCGATCCGGAGTCCGGATCGGATTAAGTTCGAGAACCGAGGTACCACTGTATGTATATATATATGTTGTGTGTGTGTGTGTGTGTGTGGATATTTGGTGGAGTATTTGTACCCATCACCCAATTTTTTAATCATTTTATACGAACCCTTTTATCTCTCAGCCAATGACCCATATTTCACCGTTGTTAATGGAACAACATAAAGAGGACACTGATGACCACTGATGGCCTAGATATGAAAACATTCCAAAATGCTTACTCCAAGAGAATAAATGAATAGCTGCTCACTCAACACACACACACACACACATATATATATATCCGTACATGACAACGATTTTTTTTCTTTCTCTGTTGCTGAAAATAAGTTGTTTTTTTTTTGCCTGATTCAGTTTATCACAGACAGTGAAGTATCATTTTTCTTTTAAAAAGTTGCTTCTCTGCAAAGAAATTGGATTCTTGTTAATATATATATTTTTTATTTATTTTATGTTTTGATGCATTTTTGTTGTTTTTTATGGTGTGTGTGTGTGTGTATGTGTGGGCGTGTGTGAATGTACAGTATGTTTTCAGGATTTGTCTGCCTCAAGTTTATCAAAAAAGCACATTTTACTGGAAGAAAAAACACTAACAACCGGGAAATACTGCCTTGTGTGAAAGGGAATATGTTTCTTGATTGTTTTGCATAATCTTTTTCAATAGTAGTCAACTAGTTAGTTGCCTTTAAGAAGACTCCCCAGGAGTCTATGCCAGAGAGTGTTTCTTGCAATCTAAAGCATTGTATCCTTGAAGGATGTCTTGTTTTTAACTTGTAATTATTTTAACATGCTTTATACAAAGCAATGTATACTGTAAATAGCACCTAGTCATAGCCCCCGGCCATATAACTATCTAGGTTAAGAACCTAAAGGTACAGTGGCAGTGTCCTGCCAGCCTTCTTCTCTCAATGGTTTTGAGTTGTGTTAATTTAATTAATTGACTTCTGACACCAACTACGTGAGGACAATGTCACTGAAGTTGTCCAAGCACATTAGGTGTAGCCATTCGATATGTCACTCCAATGACAAGGGCTGAGCTCTCCTCCACAGACAGGCACAGCGTACCAGATGTCAGAATCGTTTGCACAGTCTGCAGTAGAAAGAGAGGACATTTTCGGAAGTGTTTCAGGTTTTTTAGTGCTGAACCAACAGTATAGTTGATCATTTATTTTTAGAAATTATTTAGTTAGTTTCATTCCATGTTCAAGAAAATATTAAAGTATATTTATACTACAGTGTGCATAAGATGTTTTTGATTGCTTAATTGCCTAGTTCATCTTTCATATTTCTCAAACAAAGGTATTATTGCATCATTCCATCTCTGAATTCACCACTTTTCATTAAATTTATTTATCATATTTATATGCAGAACGTTTTACCATTTTATAATGTCAAGGAACTTGTAGGGGTTGCATTACTAAGCTGTACTGTAATGTCTGTGCCTTTCTAGTGGACGATGCTGATTGGCTTCAACAAAATTTAGTCTTAATCATTGAGTACCTAATCCAGTGCAAATATTGTTGTCTAGCTTGTTTATAGCAGCTGTTTGTTGCTCTGCTGCAGTAGTGCTGTAAATGAGCTGGACCCAGCACTCTTGAAAATCTGGTTACCCAGATTTACTCTTAGATAAGGGATTTTTGCACAGTGCTATTTTAGATGGTCTCACTCAGTACTAGTTGTAGGCATAATTGATTAACATAATTGATGAAGTTCTGAAGAAAATTCTGGAAAAAAGTCTCTCTATCTCTGTCTGAGAGTCTTTGTAAGCATCTATTTTATTTCATATCTATGCAGTGAATAAATACATTGAGAAGTTCTTTAAAATCAGAAATACTTTAAAATGACTGTACTACCTAAGTGTGTGTTAAGGTTTGTCTGTTACATGAGTTGAGACCAATATTCCGTCAGCCTTATAGCACTTTCCAAAAGGCAGTTCATCTTTTTGTATTTTTTCCAACTTGTGATTTAAAATCTGACAGTTGCATCAAAGAATAAATCTTTCATTTGTTTTTCTAATATTTTTGTAATGTGGCACAAAAACAGCCGTAGATTGCATGTGAGGTGTATGAATGTGCTGCAAGAGCAGAATAAAGGATAGTTTAAAGGACCAACTTCGGAAGACAAGTGTGATGAAGTTGTATTGATTGTATTAATAAATTGTACTGAGCTGATTGCAATTTTGGTTTTACATAGCAATGTACAAACGCTACATATCTAAAGATTGTTATGTCAGTAAATATGTACATTTAGTTGAGATCAACACATACTTCTAAACCCATTACTTTAAAAATCATAAGTTGAATCTTAAGTTTTGCACCTGAGTAAAGAAATTTGTATAAATTGTTGCAAATATTGTATACAATACTTAAGTATACATTTTAAAGTACTGTTCAAAAATCATTTATCATGCTGTTTGTTTAATCATTTGAATGTTGAAATATTTTTTTTATATGGGAAGTTTGCAATATTTACACTTATAATAGATATTTAATTCCACCACAATACACTGCCAATAAATTCGTATCTGGTGGGTGAAGTTCATTGAGGCTCCTAGAATGTCATGATGGTGGTGCAGGAGGTAGTGCTATTGTTTCGCAACTGGAGGGTTGCAAGTTCAAGCCTTGGTTCCTCCTGAATCTATCAAAGTGTCCTTGAGCAGGACACTGGACCCCAAATTGCTCCTGGTGAGCAGGTTGGTGCCTTGTATGGCAGCCTCCACCACCAGTGTGTGGATGAGTGAATATGAGGCATGAATTGTAAAGTGCTTTGAGTGCTTGTAGGAGTAGAAAAGCACTATATAAATGCAGTCCATTTACCATTGTTTCTGGAGCAAAAGCAATTACACCACCTTGCATTCATCATTTTATCATCAATACACATGAATAAATAGGTATACAACTTTAAGTTAAAGTAGGAGATATGTGCAAAAGCATTTTCGTTGTTTTTTATTTTTTTTTATTCTAGGTAGGCCTTTAGTAAATCCAGGTGTAAGTCACTAGCAATATTTTTTGTAAGTGATCACTTCAACACAGTCTGAATCATGACAGGGCTTGATTGGTGTCTCTAAATTCTCCTTTGTGTGTCATTGTGTTTAAATGTATTACATGTGATGGACTGACATCCCATCCAGTGTTCTTTTCTTCCTGGGACAGATGGGGGTCAGCATTTGCTACATAAGTGGTGATGGACAAATGGCAATTATGGATGATTATTAAATGCTCAGCTGGAACAGAAAAAAACTCATTGGTTGTTGAAACCAGAATTTATATTCAGAACTTTAAAGGGTTATTCAGTTATAAAATTCTATTAGTAACAATCATACAAGTGTTGCTTATGCATGAGTATCCTGAACATCTTATAATTTTATCTAAGTGAATAAATGTGATAAGCCTGATAAGAATAAATTGAATACTTTTAAAAGTCATTAATAATGAACCGAAATGCCAATCATATATGTTTTTAGAACCAGTTGCTGAAGTTTATCATGGCAGTGGCTTATATAATTGTTTACTTTTATGCCAGTAACAAAAAAATAAAAGTTATGGGCAGTGATCACTTTAGAAGGGTGGAAACAAAAATTCTGCTTAAATTTAGGAATACTCTAGGATACTAGCAAGAACAGATGTATAGATGTATACTCTCTCCCAAGCCTTATGTACAAAAGCACGTAAGTAGTTCACACACCAGGATTACAGATCAGTAAAATCATCTTTAAATATATGTCTGACTGGTTTCTTACCACTGAAAATACAGCTGAAAATAACTGAATCTAAGTATTCAGGTAACAATAGTAATATAAACTTGCGTGTGTTGATCAGATCAATCAGAATCAGTAAGAGGGAATTGAGTCAGATTGTTCTCTAACCCGACAGGTTGGGATTACCTTATACTTTCAACCACTGCCTGTTCCTTTTAACCTAGTGGAAAGCAATGAAGTTACCATTTAGAAACTAAATATTATGTGGTTCATCTACAGCGGATGTTCTTCAGGTTTTATTCAATTACCCCTTAGAGTACAAAATTGTTTTGATAATTTACTAATACTAAATATAATGTTTTCCTAACATTAAAAAATAGTATATTCATAATAACGATCTTCAGAATAAATTATATCTTGTAAAGAACAAGATATCTGAACATTTTCTGTAAACTGTCTTTCATCTAGGAGTCATTTAACAGTAGAATTTATATGACAAAGAAAATGTATATGCAAGTGTAATTGTTCAGACATTCACTTTTCACAAATTCCCATTCAGTTTAATCCTTTTAGTTTAGTTGTTTTTTTGTAATCAATGCTGAATAAGTCTGTCATCCTATGCTGGTGCTTCTGTGGTTTTCTGCTTGGTTTAGGTGTTATTTTCAGCAGTGGGAAACTTTTGAGGACAGCGGAGGTGTGGACAGTGTCTTCAGAGCTTCAGGTAGTACACCATGGCACACAGCAAGAGAAAGAACTGACCCAAAAGATTAGAATGTTAGGTATTTTTGGAACCATGTGACTAGTTAAGTGTCTTTATGTAGAAGAGTTTCTATAGAAAGTATTCAATGTATGATGTCAATATTAATCATTAGCCTGTAATATATATTACTATATAATGTATCAAAGAATCATACATTAACACCTAATGTGCCACCTTGACAAGAAAAGGCATGTAGTTAAAAACTTACCACAAATATCAGGACAGAAAATCCATACCAGCTGATTGCCCAAGTATAGTTACTGAAAACAGACTCAATGTAACCAAAGCAGCCCTGGGGAGAGAAAAGGAGTAAGTCATATAGTACCAGTTGACCAGTAACAGCTGACTTCCTATGAAAATATATTCAGGTAGAAAGGCGATACAGAGCCAGAAGTAATACAAGTGATTCTAGAACAAGTCTTCACCTCTCCTTACCTTGGCAAACATGGAGCCTACATAGCCTACTTTGCAGCTCCTTTGGTCTGCAATCTCATAATTGTTTTGTCTCCTGCAGCAGTTGAGGGGCCAGGGGAAAACATTGGGGAAGTTTTGCTTGAAGGTAGAGGTGTATGTAATCCAGTCAATGGGGCCATCTGTGCCGCAACACTGGACCTGTGAGGAGGGTGAGAAAGAGACCAAATGCTAGAGAGTGTTGTAGATAAGCTGAGATATCCTAGTCAAATAGCTAAAAAGTAGGTCTGATCAATTATGGCAAAAATCATAATCACGAATATTTTGGTCAATATTAAGATCATGATTAGTTAACACAATTACTCATTGACTTTGGAAATGTCATGCATTTATTGAATTAAAAAAAAAAAAAACATCTTTTTAACGATTTCCTTGAGCTCTAAATATAATTCAACTAAGAAACAAAAAGTTGGTGCAAAGGGGTGCACTGGATTTATAACACAAGACAATACGGGAGTATCACTGCAAAACGAAATGCGAAACAATTATTTTATCTCAATTATTTTACTTTGATAATCGCTGGAATCTACAATCATAATTGAAATCAAAATTAGATTAATTCCCCAGCCATACTAGAAAGGTCAAGTAGTTAATAGGTACTTGTTCATCTATCCTAAATATTTAGCAAGAATCGCTTCAGTGACTATTCTGAATACTATTCCGAATAAAAGTATCTACAAAATAAACCAAACATGGAGCACATAAAACATTCCAATTCTGATATAAGTTGGTACGTACATGTGACTGATTTTACTCTGACATAACACAAATTAAGGTGTGCCCTAGTAAAATGTGATAGTTCTATACATGACACTACATTCAGCAGATGTTTATTGAAGGGCAGGTATAGACAACTATTTGCCACAGTTATCTGTCCCCATTTGTTACTTGTAGCCTCACCTAGAATTTTTGGTGTAGCCAGTATTGTTAGGTATCACGTCAGCAAAGAGGTAATAATGAGCAGCACCAATCCTTAGTATTACGAAACCCTTGATTTGCGTTCATGGGAATATATCGTTTAGGCTTCTGTCTGTTATAGCTTTCCATGACAGAAGGCTACGTGACCTCTTTACACTAACTACTATAGGTTCCTCAAGCAGTTTTGTTGCCAATCTGTTTATAATATAAGGAAAGGAGCAATGGTGAATCAGGTCAGGACCAGATGATATAAAATCTGTGAGCACAATTCAGTGTTTGGAAGTTTAATTTTTGGATTGCTGGCTATTAAAGACAACAGTATTCCTAGCAAATAAGATGATATCAGTCTAGGTATTACAAGGTCGGACAACATACCTCTTGCATTACCCTGTTCCATGTATCCGTGATCTGTTTCCCATCATCAGAATTATCTGCATAGTACCTTAGCATTTGTTTTTTCACCAGATTACTGTTGCCAACTAGCTGAAGGGATGAGATGACACATCACAGCTGTTATCTTGGACTCTGTATTCCTTCATTAATTTAGAATGCCTTTATTTCATCTGTGCTATTATTTATGGTTTATGCTTTTATAGTATAATATATTCTATAGTATAATATATTCAATAGAGAGTAAAAGAAAGAAAGAAATGTTTAAATGATCTTCATGTTGCTGTAAATCTATGTCTGTCAAAGTGTGTCAGCTTTGCCATTTCAACACTCCAGTATTTGCAGCAACCATTCAACAGGCTGATACATTTTTGACACCACCATAGCATATCTCATATGGCTAATCAATACCTCATTAACCTTTTAAACTAATCAAATGAGCTGAGGAGAGGCTTGGGAAATGAAACAGTATTCTTCCAGCCATCAAACAAGATCTCAGTAACTTTTAAAGAACAGAAGAAATTCTTGTTAGTTTTTATTGTGTTACTCTTAATTTGAATATGTTTTAATGTTAAATTATGTTTTTCTTCCAGAGCAAATATGCACTTACTACCCAGATAAATATCTTTAAACATCTTCTTTGACTGCATAAGACTTTTGCACAGTACTGTACAATTATATATATTTCACAGATATGGGTTTGAAATGTATGAATTGAAAATCATTTCACTTACATAATCCCTGTGAGTTGCTGCTGTGATGACAGAAGCACATTCAAATATGTAGATAATCAGCATCAAAGCCAGGTACTTCAAAGAAGAATAAGAACACAAGAAACACATACCATATGAAATGGGCAGTACACAGGTCACATTTTAACCATACATAATATCAACTGTCAATTGTATATCATGCATATGCAAGGTTTTGTTTATGTTTGATTCCTTCAGTTTCCTGCCACAGTCCGATGACATTCAGTTCAGGAGAATGGATGCCTAAATGCCTTCATTCAACTTGTGTGAGTGTATTATAATAAAATAAATTTCATTTGATGTCTGCCTTGTTATATGTCTGCATCTCAAGTGAACCGCCACCGGTTTAGTGATTAATAAAAAAACAATATATGTTTGAAGGCATTTTGAGGCACAGTGGTTCACTAGTCTCAATTAAACTAATAAGATGTGCGTCACCAAGAAAAAATGAAAATGTCAGTTTACTCTATGTTTTAGACTGTTTCCTGGTATATCTTACCGTCATCATCAAGCTGCGATGTTTCCAGATAACAGCAAATATGCCAAATACAGCAACACAGAAAAAAGAGAAGCCTGTGAAGATGGCTATCCAGGAACCAGCAAAAATATCATCCTTCCCGGTGACGCCTGCCAGTGGGTACAGGCCGTAACTGTCAACAGTCACCCAAATGGCCACTGCAAACAGAGCCAGTCCAAGAATCTGAGAGGGAAGGATAGTGGCATAAAGAAATGAGCATCCGCGATGTGGGTGTGGGACCAAGCAAATAAAATGGAGGGAAAGGAAAAGAGAAAAAAAAGAAAGAAAGAAATATAAAAATAAAACAGTCAAGGGAGAAAGACAAAAATTGACAGGAGCTAGAAGACAACTGAGTAAATCTTACAGCAGTGAAGGCATTGCCAATGATGAGAATGATCTTAAGCACCCTGGTACTTTTCCCATCCTCCATGGCTGCACGTTGTGCAAACTGTAATTCCTACAAAACAAAGAAAAACTTGACTACGTTGTGCATCCTGATTCACAAATACAAATTGGCAGGGAAAACTCCTGGGGTGTGGCTCACCAATATTCACATGATCAGGCTGTGTAACTATGGAGTGGCTAAACCTGTTTTGCTTGCATTTGCTACAATGGCCATTGACTGAAAACTGCTCATCTTGTTGAAACCAGATGTTGCCACTCATTTGTTAACAAGTTTCAGCTTGTTAGTATCAAAAGTGGCTGAAAACCTTGAATATGCCGTAAATTGTGCGCTCTGAGTATAATTTTGCCACATCACATTATTCACAATTAGAACTTAGAATATTGCACGCAGTTTTTTCTATATTCTATATTTTCTGTCAAGTATATGCTATAACACTAAATAAACATTTCCTTTAAAATATTACAGAAAAATGGATTCTGTAACCTGCAAAAATTATAAATTGAATATAAAGGTGCAAAACAGCAACACATCTACCTTGATAGATCACAGATTATGTTATTTAAATAGCATTTTTTTCCTGATGCAGTTGCTTTTATTCTGTTCTACAGTTAACAAAGAATGCAAAATATATTCTTAATTTAGTTCAGAGCTATTCACTGTATTTCATGTTTTTTCTTAATCCTCAAAAGTACCTTTGAACAAAATCCAGTAAGATCATCTGTGACATACCTGAAGTGACAGGACTAGGAAAGCTTCAGCAATGGGTCATATACACCTGTTCCACTTGCAATGCTGTTCACATGTAAGAACTCGTTTCTGCTCCAGGTAAATTTATTGCTGAGGTTTTGTGACGTCATTTGGAAAGTGGAAAGCATTTTATATTAGGTATACACAATAGAAATGCTTAAGGGCCAATGAAAATGTTAACTCAAAGGGACATGTTTGTACAAAATTAATTGTTACAAATACATCAGTTCTCTAACAATACATACTCCAGTAATTCCAAAACTAGATACAAATGCTAACAGAAAATAATATACATATGTGTGTATACATACTTATATACAAGAGCATAACTATCAGTTGAACACTGGGGTTAGAATTATTTACATCCATGCTTATATATGTTAAATATGTTACTTTTTAGGCTCAGTGGATAGTACCCAACTCCAGTCACGGGGTTCAAATTCTACCTCCACTTCCCTAATTCCCTTTCTCCTGCACTTAGGATAATTAGTGTCAGTAAAATTTTGACTAATTAGTATAAGGTTTTTTTTAAATACTTCCGTCACATCGGGTCAAGAATCTAGCTCCCTATTACCTGCTGCAAGCATAGATATTACTTATGGTCACACCTACCTCCAGAAGATTCCACTGTAGAATTACTCACACCTACAATCATCTATCCACCCATCCGTGACGACAGTTTGCTTTGGTGGGTGGCGTTTTGGGAAGCATGAATCCCCACCCATGACATCAACCCTGATACATACACACACTCAAACACTTCTGGAAATGAACAGATATATGGCAAGACCATGTACTACACCCTCCCATAATATAGCTGTGCTGACGTCAGCACACATCTGACAGACGCAAAGACTCAGTGATATGGACTAAAAACCGTCTCTCAAAATTTTTAGGCAGAATAGAAAGTCACGTGTAAAATAGAATATTCCCATAATGAATAAATAAGTCTTATACTATCTGAAATACACTGCCAAACAAAATTTGGTCAACTTTTACTGTGCCATTTTCAAGTAAATGCACTTTGAAATCCATGTGTTTTTCTTATATGAGTCAAGATTGACAGGCTGTATCTCAGAATTTTCCCATAATGCATAAACAAGTCTTATACCTTCCAAAAGGCAAGGTCCAAGTTTATTTTCAAGTTTGCATGAATATTTCTCTGAATTTTTCATTATGCTTTTGAAGTATCTTATACCATGTGCTAAATAAAGTCCTTAATTGGAATCAGTGCATCTTACTGTACTATTTTCAAACGAACCCCAACAGAAATAATAATGTGTATAAATGACTTCATATAATACATACACTGCAGTTATAGCAAGCTTTTTCTGTCAAATGTCTTATAATGAATTAACAGTCAATGGAACTCATCTGTTAAATTGGTTTGATACTCATATTTATCGATATCTTCTTGTTATTGCCTGACACCCTACCTTACTGTGTCAGTATAGGAGCATGTCACCCCAATAGCACATGGTGTCAGTTGATCACATCATCTTCCTATCAATCTGAAAAGTCTCCAAGGGAACATCGCACATTGGGTGAAATATTTGGGTCACTTAGCTTCACGCAAGTCTCTGTTACATTCTTTATTGTTTTTCAAAAAAATAATTACTGATAAGGAAATACCAAAAGTCGATTATTTTAAAATCTGACACCGATACGGATACCGACTGTTTGGGAGGTTCTGCTTAGAAAAGTTTGCTTCTCCTTTTGTGTTTTGATGTTGTACCGTCACGTGACTCAGCGGCACCAGGCAAGCAAACAAGCTCACATGCACGCACACACACACACACAATATGGAGTGTAAGAAATTATGGCAGAGAGAAAGAGGAGTGCTGTGTGGCTTTATTTTCAAGCCAAAGATCAAACAATGGCAAGTTGTATTATTTGTAAGAAGGCTGTCAAATACAGTGGTAATATAACTAATTTATACAAGCATATGAGAAATCATTCAAAAGAAAATGCAGAGCTACAGAAACAGTGAGAGGAGGTGATAAATCCAACCTTGCCCCGACAGAAGCAGACCCCCACCCTGAGGCAGTGGACATTGGCAGAGGCCTTTCAATTTGGCAGAGAATATCCAGGTAAATTATGGTGGTGAAAGTAATATTTTAATCATCTTCAGCATTAGTTAATATGAAATTTTCAAAGTGCAAGTGGTTAAAACTCAAAGGGGTGGTTTCCCAGACAGAGATTAAAGCTAGTCTTAGATTTAAACAGCCTTTTAATGCAGACTAATAGAAATCTCAGTCAGGGTATAAAACAGTACTAGACTAAGCCTATTCCTGAATAAACTAAGCTTGTTTCCTGAAGGAAGATCAGAGCTAGTCCAGGAATAAATTGAGGTTTAAATAAAACCTGCCAACAGGCAGGTTTAACTTCAGATTAATGTTGTTTGCTGAAGAAGACACATAGATTACTTGGAGTATGTCAATGATTATCAACAAATAGCACCTGCTAGACAAATTTTTGTTGACAGAAGTGACCCACTGCAATTTTTTGATGAAATCAGTTTTCGAGATCATTTTCAAATGCATAAAATGCCGTGGAGATAATTTCTCTTTTGGAACCCAGTCTTTCATCTGTTACCCAAAAAGGACGGCCTATTTCAGTTAGTCTGCAGGTGCTCATAACTTTACGATTTTTGGCATGTGGCACAGAGAAACTGGGGATTTATGTGGCGTCAGTGAACCAACAGTGTGTAAAGTCATTCACGGAGTATGCCATTTGTGTATTGAGAAGACATAAACAGGAATCGCAAGAACTGGTTTTCCATTAATGTCCAAGGTGTATGCACTCCCCAGTTACAGTTTTTGTACATTGTTGCACATTGGAAAGGTGCCACCCATGATTCCTGGATTTTACTTAACTCATCACTTTATGCTCAGTTTGAAAGAGGAGATCATAATGGAATATTGCTTGGTGACAGTGGGTATGCTCAAAGGAATTTTTTGTTTACACCATACTTGCACCCAATTACATCTGAGCAAAGGTGCTACAAACAAGCTCAGAGAGATGGATAATACCGCTTCTTTCAAAAAGATTTATGACCCAAAGGTCATAAAGGTCACGGGTCAAAAGTTCACTGGATGGGCGGGTCTGGGGCGTGACGTCACCTGGCTGTGAGCCAGCAACGACTAGTGACGTTGGGAGAGGTTTTTTTTTATTATTATTATTTATTTATTTATTATTTATTCATTATTAATTAATCATTTATTAATATTATATTTATTTATTATTTATTATTATTCTTTTATTATTATTTATTTTTATTTGAGGAGAGTGAATTGTGTGCTTATGAGTGGGTTTTTGTGGGAATAGCCCCGTGCTACGAGGGTGCCGAGGACGGAGCTGAGGACGGGAGCTGAGTGGGTCGGTTACCTGATGGAGTGTGAGCGTACGGTGCCTGTGGAGCGGTACCTTGGGAACGTCCCGGGCTTTGGAGTATCCGCAAAGGACTTGGAGAGAGCGATGCTGGAGAGCTGTGAGCTGTGAGTTGTGCTGCGCGAGACTGAAAGAAACCCTGTGTGAATGAACAAGTTGGAGCTAAGAATGAGAGGAGGAGGAGGAGGAGGGTCTGGGTCTGACGCTATCCTCCTCCAATGAACGCTTAGGGGCAGTTTGGGGGTGTGTGTGTTGACACCCCGTGCAGCAGCAGCAACAGCTTGGCCTTGTGTGGTAGCGGTTTTCAAGTTTGTGTTTTTCGTCATGCAGCCGTTGTATTACATCAGCGTAGTTCAAATCCCGGTCAAACTGTAATTTGGGCCACACATCAAATTGGACATTTTGTATTTCAGTAAATTTTGTTTGAAGTTTTGGTTTTTCCCATGCACCTGTTATGTACATCCCCGTAAGTCATCCGTAATAATTTGGGCCACACATCAAATTGGACATTTAGTATTTCAGTAAATTTTGTTTGAAGTTTTGTTTTTCCCCCGTTATGTACATCATCTGTGCAGTTAAAAGAAAAAACGTACATCGAAATAGACTTAGGAAAAATCAGATAAAACTTGACAGGCCGTATATTTCTCCTTAAAGAATCCTAAGAAGCAGGGTTTCCCTACTTTGGTAAAGAAAAACAAGTACCCCCCCTAGTATCATTAAGGCCTTATCCCCACTGGAAAGAGAAAACTACACGGGACTCGCATAGTTTACCTCCTTTGGTAAAGAAGCACAAGTATCATCAAGGCCTTACCCTGTGTGCCACACCCCACCAGCAGGCCGTGGAGAATATAGCGAGCTTCGCGCGCTAAGCCCAACACTAATTTTTAAAAAACACAGACATGTCTGGCACTAGCGAAATGAAAGATTCAGCCTCACCACCTAAGATTCAGCAGGAGCAGGAGGAGACTGTTATGCGGCCTCCGGGGGTTCCCAAGAAGAAGATTCCTACGAGGCGTAGACGGGTACTTTTGATGCAGCCGTCTGGAGACCTGAGAGTTACCTGGGAGCTGCCCAACGGGGATAAAGTGGTCTGCCTCTTTGACAATGTTGCAGAGGAACTACGCATCTTTCAGGTCACCGGAGATGCCGCAGACCCGGGGAAAGATGACCCGCATCTGGCCTGTTTTTCTGAAATGGAATGGGGAAACTTGAAGACTCTCGTTATCCCGATGATGAAGGAGAGCACCGACCCCGACTTTCANGCTATTAGTTAAGTTCTCCCCAAACGAGCTTGATGGGCCGAATGGCCTCCTCTCGTTAGTAAATTTCTTATGTTGTTACGTTCTTAGAAGAGGAGACCACCTCAATAGTCGTGCCGGTTTTCCTAAAGTCTGCATTCATCTCCTTTGTTTCCTTCACATTGATGTAGAAGTTGTTTACTTTGTACCATACCTCCAGTTTTTCCACTTCCTGCCTGTTCTCAGACTCATCGTTGTGAGAGATGAGTGTCACCACTGCTGTGTTGTCTGTGAACTTAACTACAAGTAGTTCTCACTTTTACGAGCAAATTTGTTCCATACTATCGCTCATTAATCGAAAACTCGTAAAGTAGGAGGTATTTTCCCATAGAAATGTGAGGGGAAAAAAAGTTTCAGCCAAAATTTTTTTTTCTTAAATCTTTCCCAAATAAACAAAAGGTAAAATATATTATTACAATTAACATTTAAATATACGCACATTTAAGCAAAAAAAAAATCTTTGGTGAAAACCAAAAAACACTAACTGTAACATTCACAGTCAGATTTAGTTACTTTGATTTTCAGGAGATGTGGTTAAATTTCTTCATGTATCTGAGCTAAGAAACAGTATGTAAAATTAACCTGCGGTGTTTCTCAATACCAAGAACACGAAGATTGTATATGTGGTCTTGGCAAGATTGGTCTTTCCTTCCAAGAATGAAGTTTGGGTGCAATGACTCATGGGATTGGTCTCATTTGGCAAGGATGCAACCGATGAATCCTTGATATTTGGGGCAGAGCAAGAACAACATCTGGCGATTTTTACCATCCTCTGTACTGGTGTTTTTAGTATTGGAACTGGGAGGTACGTGGATTACTCGTTTAGCCGGATGTAATTGTTGACGATTTGGCATGATCCTGGATCTGTTGGTTTTTCGAAACAATTGCTGGATGTGTTGTCATAGCAGCACATCCAAATCGTCAAACCTGCTCGGAGCAGGTTTGTTCTGTGTAAACAAGGATTATCTCACACACGTAGTCAGTGTCAATGCATTGAAATCCAATCAGTCATGGCCTTGCCATTCATGAATGAGCGACCAATTGATATGGGTGC